ACCCTCGAGGCAGTTACACAGTGCTTGAAACTGTCTCTGGAAGTGAAAGCACCAAAAAATTAAAGTATGTCATACGCAGCTGTCATCCGTACGCAAGTAAGCACAAGATGCCGAACACCCTTAGCAGGATGCAGCGCACCCTTCATGCGACTCGCCGATTACCTCACAGCGCTTCGCGCTTGGTGATGTTAGAGCCTGGTCCGGTGAGAACCCGGCGTGCTCCGTCCCGGCTTTGTAGGGATGCGAGGTCAATGGTCTAACGACTACGGCATGCACGACTATGAGTACACCCCCCCCCCCCCGGTGTTTGCCTATCGGGATTGGGTTTTCGTCGCTTGGCAACGACGTTGTAAAACAAGCCAATTCACTTCGTGAACTCGGCAACCAGGTTACCGTTTTTTTTTTTTTCCTCCGTTTATTTTTTTTGGGCGGTAACCATAATGATGGTTGAGTAGATCATGTTGTGCGGGGTGAACCCTCACTCCGCGCAAGGGGGATGATCGCACCACGTTGTGTTAAAATGGTCAAGCACCCTCGAGGCAGTTACACAGTGCTTACAACTGTCTCTGGAAGTGAAAGCACCAGAAAATAAATTAATTCATACGCAGCTGTCATCCGTACGCAAGGAAGTAAGCACAAGATGCCGAACACCCTTAGCAGGATGCAGCGCACCCTTCATGCGACTCGCCGAATATCTCACGGCGCTTCGCGCTTGGTGATGTGAGAGCCTGGTCCGGTGAGAACCCGGCGTGCTCCGTCCCGGCTTTGTAGGGATGCGAGGTCAATGGTCTAACGACTACGGCATGCACGACTATGAGTACACCCCCCCCTCGTTCTCTTCTCCCCGACAACAGTTTCGTGCTCGATAAAAAGGTGGAAAAGGAGGAGAGTTTTCTGGTGGCTCTGCATGGAGAGGCGTACGAGAGCTATCGCGAGGCGGTGGCCAAGTTTGTGCCCCGGCTCTACTAGCAAACTTGTTTTTGCGTTAAAAAAATGTTCGGTGTAGACTGATTTGTTTGTTTTCTCGGAGGGGCGGCGGGGGGGCGGGGGGGTGGTGGTGAGCTATCTTGTCGCGATAAGATGGACGGCTTGCACCGCAGAAGAGTAATGCTGTACTGTGTGTTTGGCCATGGGTCGGACGTACGGTCGCATTAGTGCAGTAGCTGGTAGATTGCGAACGCAGGCAACAGACGAGGATTTTTTTTACCATTAGCAGCAGTGCTGTATCAGCAGTGTCAACAAGGTGGGTAGACACTGTGACGGTATGTGTGTATGTTCTCAGGGACGGCGGGATTCCGGCGGTGGGGCAGGCCTTGTCTTGTTCATATTTTCGTCCTTTTTCCTACCTTTCGGTCTTGATGAAAAGCCTTGGGGGCGGATGGCGTGTGGGTTAAGGCGTGATTTATTCATGATGATGGATACCACCCTCTCTCTAGCTGGTGATGATGGACCGCCCCCCGTTCTTCTGTAACAGACGCACGAGCCTACTGCAGGTACTTTTGTGCAACCACCACAAAAAACTATACCACCTCCAACTTTAGTAATTGTTGTTTCTCCCTTCTTCCCCTCGCTCCTCGACAAGCTTTTGCTTAGACATGGGTCGTCGCGAACNCTGCAGGTACTTTTGTGCAACCACCACAAAAAACTATACCACCTCCAACTTTAGTAATTGTNGCTGCTGCGCATCCGCCGCGAGGCGTGCGTGTGGTGGTGGAGTTGGGTCGGCACTGATGGGGTCAGGCGGGAAAATGTAGATGCGCGGGCCTTTCTGGCCGTCGGCGTAGGCAGTGATGCCCATCTCATTTTTGTGCGCGGAGGCAGACACCATCAGAAAGGTGGACGGGCACTACACGGCCCTAGATTTGCTAGAGGGAGCTGTAATGCCTGAGTAACCTGGCTTCGCCATCAAAGGAGGAGAGGGCAGGTGGCGACGAGCTGAACTAGGCTAGTTGACCATTCGGCGTGAGAATTTTTATTTTTTTCAGACCAAGTCGGACCGACTTTTTTGTCCAAATTTTCGACATTTGTCTTTCAAAAACCTGGAACCTGTGTGCAGTCATTTTAAACGTGTGACGTGGACTTGTGCAACTTGTGTAAAAAAAAATGACGCCGTCCGTGAGTTGTAGCGCTCACTTCGAGACAACACACACGACACAATACAAAGCGCGGAAAACACGACATCATGGACACCGACATGGATATCACGACCACCCAGCGTGGCCGGCAGACCAAAACCCCGGCGAAAGTCCAGCAGACGGGCTCTCTCGGTGCCGCCGTAGGCGGTGGAGGCTTGCTCTCCAGCAAGACAGTGCTGCTGCCTGGAATCTCGGGGAACACTCATGTTACCACGGGAGGCGCTGCCGCCACCAACACTCAGAGCGAGGGTGGAGCAGGCCGCCGGCGAGGGGTGGTAACCACTGCTCCTACCCCCCCGGGAAAAGGAAAAAACAAAGCGGCGGACGCGAAGCAACAACTGCAAGCCATCATGGCGGACCGCCGTTTTTCGGACGACACAGCAACAGCAGACAGCATCGTCAACGTTGGCAACAGCGAATCTGTAGGCGCGCCGCGCTTTCTACGGTCAGTCATGACTCACACACAACCCTAGCTGACTTTCTACGGTGAGGGGCACTCGT